TACCCCACCCAATAACCAGTCTGTCCTCTTCTTTCCCTTCCTTATCTCTTGTATGGTCTCAGTCCAGCCACATGTCACCTTTAGCTCGGAGGTTAAAAGTCTTATAAACTAATTGTCTGGAAGATCGTAGGGTCGAATCCCGGTCGAAGCGCTGAAAATTTGTTTCTCTCCAATATGGGTCGGTCACCGACTCAACAACCTTGTCTTTCCTACCATTGTTTTTAATTTTGCACACTATCAAGCAGAACAGGCATTTCTTTGACGCATTTTAGTCGAGCAGTGATTTTCAGGCTGTGCGGCGGAAGCATTCGTCCCTACTGCTCGTCTCGGCTGAGAAATGTACAAAAATCCGCCTGCGTTTTTAGACCTATGATAGATTGAGAGAGAGACCTATGAGAGATTGAGTAAGACGTTACGATTTACATTTTGGTATTCCTGAATGTATCTCATCTCTAACTGTATTTTTTTTATTTTGCACAGAAACACTCCGTGGGAAAGAGCATACAAGGAGGGTGGCTATCATTTTAACAACTTCGATGATTTACCACATTCATACGGCAAGTGCCTTTAAACTGTTTCCTGGTTAAAGTATTATCGCAAATAGGGAATAACCACAAATGAAGCACTTTTTTATAACTAACAAAGGATATCTAGTTTAAGGATGACCAGTTTCTGTGTTATAGGCAGGTAAATCACACTGAGGGACACCCCACGTCTACGCTCGATTTCCGCCGTTTTTAAGTCCGATCGTCCCCGGCGGGGGGGGGGGGGTAGGGGAGGGGAGTAGGCAGGTAATAGAGCGTACCCTCTGTCGCTATCACCCCGGTACTACAAAAGACCTCTTTTCACCTTTCAATTGTAAAACGTCTGTAAACATCCTACAATTAGCATACACTTATCGTAATTATTTGCGTCATTGCGTCACTTAATGAGATTTTACAGAAATAGCCGATCATGAGGTAAATTTTGATAAATGGGCCTTTTACTGCTACGCAGGTAATTAAAAATTCAAAATCTTTCTCCGACTCACCCACCAACTCACTTCCCTTTCCGCCTCATGCTTGCAATTTTCTCAAATGCTTTAAAATGGCCACCCTTCCATTGGAGAGTTTCATCACATCGTATATAACCGTTTTTTATTACGTTTCTCTGCAGTGACTTTGTTCGAGTTGACAGTGGTAAACAACTGGTTTATAATAATGGTAAGAAAACACGATTGCTTGTTTCGGTGTTCCACTTGCTTCATAAGCTTCCGACGGTGTTTAGCCTTCGTGAGTGCATGGGATTCTTGTGCATCATTATAGTTGGGTTGAATTGGTTACCTTGTGGTGGAGTTAACGGCTTGTTTTGTGCAACTTCTGGATTAGTTTTTGCCTTTTCATAATCAGCTTTCTTTTCCTATTTATTGACAGGAAGGGATAGTTCATCTGACATCAGACTGGGCCAGAGTATTCTTTATGTTATTTTACATTGTCACAATGGTAAGTCATAAAATCACCGACTATCATAGTTACACAAGTTTTTAGACAAAGATCTGCATACTTGGGCTTTTGAAATAGCTTCAGGGGAAGGGGTATGAAAGTCAATGATTGCTGGGTGTGTGTCGCTGTCCTGTCATAACCACTAACCCATTATAGACTGTTTTGTGGCCAATTAAAGATCCCATCCTAGTCACATTTGGGCCTACACGGTAAGTTTAGGAGAGCTACTCTTCAGCGAGTTACTTAGGCTACCTATTAGGTCCATATGCAGAGATAGAAAAATTATCATAGAATGAAAGAGATGGTAAACTTTGACCCTGGTAGATGAGTAAAGGAGGATCCAAAACGTTTCTGAAACATTTCAGGCTTTTTTAGCTTCTTTTATCTTCTTCTATGTGCCTTTAGAAAATAATTATTTTACCATAGTTTTACCAGTTCTCGGTAATCAAGTATCCTCTTTTTCTATCTTATTTTGACCAGGTTGTCATGACAATTGTTGTGGCGTTTATCCTGGAAGCCTTTCGCTTCCAGATGAAATATAGACAAGAACATCCTGCAGACGAAGAAGGTGAAGAGCTTCAAATATTACTGTAATCGAGACTGTTCTGGACCACTCCGCCGTAAATAACAACATTGAAATGATGAAAACGTTCTCCGTTGTCTCTTTTGTCAATGAATTTCGTATTTCAAAGATCACGTATCTTCGATCGTTAGTGGCGTCACAGACATTGTACAGCAAAATAAACCTAAGTCGTGTGTGTTACCTTTCAACCTACCATAAAAAAGGAAAAGGTTCGCAAAGCGTACACATTATACGAAGTGGCATTAATTTTTTTGCTTGTAAAGATGGAGAATAGCTGCGCTTAGAGGAAAGTGTATTCAATATTGACGAAATGGTTTACCTCTCCACAGAGGATATGAGAATCCCAGTGGAAATCACCTACAATGAACTCCTGGACTTGGGCGAAAGCTATGTGGAAGAGCTGCAGCCCGATCAGTCCGTAAGAATATCATTATTTCGTTGTCTGTCAGACATTTTCATTCAACTCCCAAGTTTTCTGTTTTTAAAGGAATGTTCCTTGAGTCATGAAACACCAACTTCATGACTTCAACTCAAATTCCTGGCCCATCAAGGGACCAATCAGAGATCTGACGCTAACCCACGCAGCAAGCATAGTACATGATTTCCCACTACGGTAGTATCAAAATGACCGTATATTTATGGTTTCCATTTGCGTTATATTCCGTTCAACAACTTAACAATAAGTTCAAAACTTTCAATCTATTATCACTGGTTATCTAAATGAATTACGAGATACCATCCAAGGGTCCCGCAAGACAGCTTCCTATGCTCGTCAGATACATTCAATTGTTGAGAGACCCATAAGTTACATTGAACGTATAAACAGGTATCGTTAATTAAGGGTTCTTGTTCATAAATTTTACACTTGTTGGGCTGTAGTATTTTGGTCGATATACTAAGGTCTCAAATGCGTAGCGGCCTGTTGTACCGAGGTTTAACTGTTTCAATACAGTTTGAGACTGTTATGTGACTCGCGTACACTCATTTCATTGCAGGTTCATTACGAAGGAAAACGCCCCAAGACAGAAATGGATTTGAGAGTAAGAATGTACGGCGATGAAATCGAGGTATAAACTTTTCATTGATCATTAATTGATGAATTATTCTGTAGTAAATTAGTCAGTTTTTAATTGTTAAATTACACTGTAGTAAATTAGTCAGTTAGACAAGTAATGTAAAAGCGACGAGGTCACACCATTTTGTCATTGCGCTCCTTTTTTTCGTTCTTTGAATATTATCTCGTTTGCGATAAACCTGTTTCGCTTTCCTTGTGGCAATGGATACAAAATGAAGAGCCCCTCGACATGGAAGAACCTTTAGCGCACGCTCATATAACAGAAGATACAATGGCCATGTCTCCTACCAACTCTCCTTCATCATCAGTCCCCGCGAACACGTTATCCAATGGTCTTGTGACTGATAAGGTAACAATGGGAGAAGTAAACACAGAGTCAGACGAGTAAGAAGCCATCTTTTGAAAATGTTTTGCTTTTCCTTGTAGCAATGGATACAAAATGAAGAGCCCCTCGAAATAGGAGAACCTTTAGCGCCTGCTCATATAAATGATGAGGTAGAAATGGTAGAAGTAAACATGGTGGTAGACGAATGAGACGCCACCTTTTGAAAATGGGAGCGGGAATAACAGATACCCTCCAACAAGGTTCAACAGATTACTCTATTATGTATATATAATCAGTAAACTCTTACCTAAAATAAGGCGGACACTAGTTTGATCGGTTCCTATGCGGTTGGTTTTTCAAGCGCTCCTAGGGAAGGTACATTTTTTATTGGGGGGGGGGGGGTCGGGGTATTTTAGAAATTTTTTGCGAAAAAAGTCGTGGCCCTCCCACTTCCCAGAATGGATTAATGCATGACCCCTCACAAATACCTACACAAAAACATCTGACCCTCCCCCCCACCTCCTCCAAGACAAAAATAACCGGAAGTGAAAATAACTAACCGGAAGAGTTACTCACATAACCGCGTCTGCGCACAAAGCAGTTAATTGCGTGGCGTGTGATTGCACGGTGAAAACTTGAAAATGGGCAAGGATGTACGAGGAATAGAAAGAGGGGAATGCGCTTGTGGTGAATGCGAGGATTTCGTGAGGTCAGATGGGCCGACTCGCCTTCCTAAAAAGGATGCCCGCTACTCCTCTGACTATGTTGATGGCACATCAGGTGCGGAACCAAGTAAAAGTGTAAACCCGAGTAGCTTAAGTGACGAATTGTCACCGGACACTGAAACATTTCGGAAACATTACCGCCGTAAAAATATGGACGAAAGCGGACACGGGTCGAGAGAGACGATTATGTTAGTTGGAAAAGACAGTTTTTTGATATAATATTTCGACACCTGTAAATAAGTCAGATTAATCTTGACTGGTAGCTTTGCTTGTATATACAAGCTTTAGGTTTCTACACACTTCGCGTGTTTGTTAACTAATAAGATTCAACTAAGCGACATGGAGTAATTTTTTCCTTGTCAAAAAAAACTGTGACCCTCCCCCGGTTGCGAATAAAACAGGTTTGACCCTCCCCAATTTGTAAAAAAATTACTAATAACCCTCCCCTCCGAAGCCCCAGCCCAACCACCCCCCTTCCTCCCCCCCCCCCCCCATTAAAAAAATCAATGTCAATATCAATGTATCTGGGGCTGCTCTAACGTCACGCAATGAACTGTAGTTATGTAACGCCGCATCGTTTGTCACACAACGAAAGCGTAGAGCGTCAGTTCAATGTATATTCAGCTTGAAACTGTAAAAAGACTTCTAAGACCAGGTTAAAATGGTAAAGATTTACTTATTATTAACAATTCCGCCAAAATATTTAGATTTCCTAGTGGATTATTTTCATTCTGAAAAAAGAAAAAAACCATACTCTGGGAAAGTCTTTTAGGGGGCGAGACAGAGAGAGCAGACCATGACATTGCGGCTTTAGGCTAATCCGCCCATCGCATGTTGACTGTTTTTTCACGTTACCATAATGCGCTCACTTACTTGTAAAACTTAGTCTCTTAATGCTCCACTATAACGAAACATAAGCTGAAAGCTTCTAGTCTCCAAATTTATTATCAAGAATTCTAGTCCAGAAAAGGAAGCGAAAAGACATAAGTTGTGAAAAAGCTAGTTGATCACTTTTGAAATATAATTTCCCCCCTTACGACAAACCTTAGCAGCATTATTTACGTAGTAAACCTTGAGAATATGCCATACACTTAGTTTACTTTTTTATTCGGCTCTTATGCAGGCGACGTCAGTGAAAAAGAAAATAATAATACAAGCTTAAAGTTAAATAATTTTGCAATAAATATTCCTTGATTCCGTTTGATGAAATGTCTAACTCTAGTCGATCTCCCAACGCGAAGTGTTTTTCTTTTCCATTCTCTTGACAAGGTAAGCTTAACAGTTGCATACAGAACATACCTAATGAGTTTAAGCACAACCCGTGTTCCCTTTTTTTTCTTTTTGTATTGTTTTTGTTTTTTCTAATTATTTTCCGTTTTTTTTCCACGCAAAATATGATCACTTGACTTGTTGATGTACTTTGAAGCTCCCAATGAGTGATTCCAGAAAGTAATTTGTTCCTTTTTTGCGGCTTTTAAATCCAACCGCTGATTAACGAGTATTTATTCAACAGTTAGACACCACTAGCGGTGTTCCACCCCGTCACATGACCGTACAGCATGATACATTCCTCCTCAGCTTACAGATCCGAGGGAGTACGGTCATAAGACGAAGTGCAATCTCTTCAGTCACGTCGAGCCGATGTACCATGATCCATTCTTCTGCAGGATTCTGAAATGAACTTTGTAAACTCTGCGCAGTACTTCCATTCCCTGAATTTTGTTCTTCGCGTATGGCGGGCTCTTCCTCTGCCGTCAATGTATTTTCCAATTCATTGCTTTGGGTAGGGGTGTCCACTTCGTGTTCACCCCCAGGAACTAGTTTCGCATTGCCTTCGTTTCCGTCTCGTAGTACCCCCGTTTCCGAAGATACTCCTTCGTTAATAACTCGTACTTCTTCGTCTTCGGTATCGGGGTTGGTAGTAGTTTCCACTAGCCCTTCTACTGCGGATGTCTCAATTTCCGGAGGTATTACATGTACCTCGGCAATGGCTTGTATTTCGTCATCTTCGGTGTTTGCATCGGTTCCCGATGTGTCGCTTTCCGACAATTCATCGTCTTCGGTAAACGGATAAGCCAAAGCAGTGACCACTGTAAGATCCGAGTCGTATCCGTCAAGATGGCGGTGGCGACTTTCAGATTTAGTTTCACTTGTCTGCCTTTGGATTTCGGTGAAGGCATTTCCCTCGTCACTGCTGCCTTTGGTTTCTTCAGCCTTAGTTTCTTCTTCTTTATTTTTCTTCGCCTGTTCGTCAATAACAACTCGTACTTCGACTACACGCCCTCCTAGACCTTCAGCAGATGTTTCAATTTGTTTAGCTTCGCGTGCAATAATCTCTTGAGAAATTTCAACGTCAGCTTTGACTTCCTCCTGTTCATCGGTTTTGTTCTTTTGTGGCGACAACTCTTTGTTTCCTTCACAGTTCAACTCATCAGCGCTATTTTCTTTCTCTTGATTGCGCTCTTTTGTTGTCCCATTCTCTAAATCGTCTGCCACGTTTGATTTTACTTCAGAGGTTTTTGCGTCTTGCTTTACTTCAACAACCACAACAACATCAGCTGTTTCTCCGAGCGCATCTTTGTCTTGGATCTCAATTTCATGATCTTCCCTCTGCCTTTTCAACTCTCGATTGCTGTCTGTTAACTCTTTCTTTCTCTTTACTGCTTTCGAATTTTCTTCGCATTCGGTCGATTTTTCTTCAGTATCTTTTTGGGCGACACTTTGTTCTTCAACACTTTCCTCCAATCCAGAACATTCATTCTTGTCTTCCTCCTCATTCCTCTTTCTAGCTCCCTTATCTGCGTTTACAGTTTTTTCATCCCCTTTCGATTTTTTCTTCCCATGTGGAACAGAACTTGGATTCGTAAACTTCCTCAATGAACGACGCAAAATATTCTCCTTCTTCCTTTTCTTCAGTGAAAGTTCCGTTGTCCCTTCATGTGCCTTTGCGGAGCCGTCTTCCTTTTCTGCGTTGCTTTCTTCGTTTTCGAGAGAATTACCCTGTTTCTCTTCAACAGAGCCCGATTTCTCCTCTGCTGTTGCATCTTCTTCCTCCGCTACAATCGATTTGCGTTCTTCTCGGTTGTTTGAAATTTTCTCTTCAAAGTCGGCTTGCTTGCGTAGTGCACCGCCATCCATAAGGTTGACGTCATTAGTTTCTTTGCCCACACCAATTTTAGCGCTCGCGTTAATTTCACTTTTTTCTTCATCTTTTTTACTTGATTTTCCTTTTGGTTTTTTAAGACTTTGTTTGTTGCGCTTGAAGCTTAGAACCGTCACTTTTTTCTTCTGCTTACCGGTCTCTTTCTTCCTAAGGTCCGCTTTTTCTTCTCTCTCATCATCTTTATCATTCGATTCACCTTTGTCAGCAGCAACAGGTAGTTTGAGCGAAGTCTCCTCCACGTCCATATCCTGACGATCTTCAGGGCTCTCGAATTTTTCAGATCGCTCCCCATGGCCTTCGCATGCGTCAGTGTTAAAGGTCTGGCTGACATTGTACTTGCCTTTTGTGGTTTGACGGAAACTTGCAAATTGCTTTATATTCATTCCTTTGTTGTTCGTCGCTGTGGACTTTTCGTTTTGGACTCCCTCGGGAGAAGTAAACGGTTCTCTGTTTTCCATCTCCACCGAACCTTCAACAGTCTCGAATTTCGCTTCGTCAGCTTTATCCGCTCGTTTGTCACAAATCTCATCCGTCTTCTCCTCGAAGATCTTCGGATCCTCTGCGATAGTTTCACATTTCAAAATTTCAACACGTTTTTCTTCATCGAGTGAGGCTTTGCGTTTGGAAATTTTACCTTTCTTAGAGCGGCGAAAACTTAATCTCCCCTTTTTGGTGCTGTTGGCTTGATCAGGTTTGAGGGTTTGTTTTTCATTGCTCTTTAACTCTTGAGTTCTTTGTGTCTCCTGTTCACCTTGGCTTTCTTTGTTCGTACTTTCTTTAGCTGTTTCTTCCGTCGTTGCGATTTTCTTGCTGTCCTGTAAGGTGCTTTCTTCTCGGTCAGTTGCCGTTTCACTTGCTTTTTTCTCCGCAAAGATTTCTCCTTTTCCTGCCGTATTCATCTCAGAATTATCGACAGTATTTTTTTTGTCGGGAACAAAATAAGAACTTTCCTGACCTTTAAACCCGCTCTCCAAACGTCCATTAGATTGTGCTTTTGTTGCCTCTTCTCCGCCCTGCGTTTCTGGCGTCGATTTTCGGCCGGGTTCGTCTTTGGCGCCGAAAAGCTGCTTGTCGATTCCACTTGTTTGCGAACTCTCTGCCATTTTAAATACGAAATTTTAGAAAGATCCTAACGCTTGCGTTACAAACTTGTCTTAACAGAAATGATTAGAATTGTTTTAACTGAAAGAGAGATATCAAATCTGTCCAATGATCGTCACAGGGACAGTCACGTGACGCATATGCACGTGAAATTAACGAGTGTTTTATACGAGAGCTTTATCAGCTTGGCATCGAGTTTTTCGCGTCGTCAATCTAGGCAATGTGCGTTTTTCTTTTATCGCTGAGATTGTTTAGCCGAATTTTATGGTTTAGAGGAAAAGGGTATATAGTTAGTTCTACAGTGTTAGTAGCCAATCAGAATAATTTTAAAGTCGTAAACTTTCTGCCACATGTTGGCAAGGTGTAAAAATTAGCGCAGTGCTTTAAACACGTAAGCAGTGTCACGAGCTTATATGTGATTTACATGTGAAAAGAACGTGAACAACTAGATCAACACTCATTCTGATGCCTCGAATATAATTTTTATTTGTCTTTTTCCGTTTAAAACTGTTAGCCACAAAAATTACCTCAAAATAACGCTTTTTGTCTTAACGGTGGACTTCCCTTAGCCTTCATTTTGACGGAGCGTGTTTTAAGCTGTTTTTTCAGCGCTCTTTCATCGAAACGTTTCCCTCTCGATAGCGATCAATACACGAACAGTTGTTTGCATCCTTTACTTGGTCCTCGCTATATTAAGTTGCGGTTCGAGCATTTTACATGCACGCACTTAATCAATAGAGAAGGTTCTTGCGAACGGCAAAAACATTTCATCATTCCCTAAAATATTTTGCCGTAGGAGAATGCGTTTGTTCCTGATAAGAATAAACTTTTCTTTTACTCGCTCCTTTTTTGGAAGTATATGAGGATTCAATAAGTAAACGAAGTAAAGGTCGAGCTTAAAATCCCTTATGACTCTCATGTGAGTTTAATAAAGGTTACTACGTCATGCTAATCTGTAGCCACGAGCTAACTTAATTGAATGTGAAGGAAAACGCGCTTAAAATATTAGTTTGCTAACTGAGATAGGAAACACCGAAATGAAGGCATGAGGGTGATTAAGAATGAAAAATATTGGTACAGATTGCAAATTTCCGACTGAAATATTGAGGCTCAATTTTTCACGATTTGTGAAGTGTAACGCACGCAATGGGCACATTGCTGAGAAGGCTTTGGGAGTCATTCTCGGTTGTTTCATCTAGTCTCAGTTCACTTATTTCATACTAAACGCGGCGGTCAAGTTCGGGGGACTAAAGTTCAACGAACAGGTCTATTTATGGGTGCAATCAATCGATTATTCATTTACCCTATGAATGTCGAACCCGTTTTTTCGAGGAGACATATTTTTTCCATCCATGATAAAAGAGTAAACTGAATTTTATGTGCCATAGCTAAACAGCTTCAACAATGCGAGTGAAGAAAAAAAGCTTAAGCTAACGGAAAGCAGGACATTCAAATTAATCTACAATTATAGCTATCTTGAATTTGGTAAAAAGGATTTGTTTTTTTTTTCAGTGGTTAAAAAAACAGCGTGGTAGCTGATCCCCTCAAGGGCTACGATGATTTTCTGACATCTCTTTCATAAAGCTCTGCTTAAACAATGAAGTGAGGACACGTTCCGTCAAGTACTCTCGAGCGAAAACGTCCAAAACTCCACAGGCCCAATTTTTCCTGTTTAAGAAATCTCAGACTCGCACAGACTTAAAGGCATTTGTTTTGATATTCGTTTAATATCTTGTTATTTTTTTTTACAGATAAACCAGCCTTCCCTCGAAATCAAAAGAATAAAAATGCATTTTGAAATCTATAAAATAAATATTTTTGCTGGTTCCCTAAATCTGGTACATAATAAAAAGACGGAACGAACTATAAATTTAAATCGCCTTTTTTTCACCAAAATATTTTTGTTCAAACGATGCTTTTAAAACTAAACCCATTTGAACTCTTCTCAAATTAAACCATCTACGTTTCTTTACAACCCT